GGGGTCCCAGGAGCTGGGAGATACCGGGGGGGGGTCCCAGGAGCTGGGAGATAGTGAGGGTGGGGGCATCGTGTCTTGGTGCCGGGGGTCCCAGGGGCTGGGAGATAGCGGGGGAGGGAGGCTGTCTAAGGGGCTGGGGGTGGCTGGGGGGGAGCATGTCTTGGTGTCAGGGGTCCCAGGAGCTGGGGGTGGCTGGGGGGCCCTGTCTCCGTGCCGGGGGTCCCGGGAGCTGGGGGGTGGCTGGGGGGCCCTGTCTCCGTGCCGGGGGTCCCAGGACTGGATTTGGTTGCGGTTTGCTTGTGGGTTGGTTGTTTCTCCCCCTGTGACTCCTGGACCCATGCGGTTGGTTTCTGGCCAGAGTGTGAATTGGGCGCTAGAGGGGAAGGGTCTCGTGGGGGGTCTTCGGGGGTCCCTGGGGGTCTCTGTGCCCCCGTCACTAACTGCCTTCCCCCCCCAGGTCTGCGCCCGCCTCCGGCCGCGCCATGGGGCCCTGGTTGCTGTTGTCCCTGCTGCTGCTGGTGCAGGGGGGGCCTCCCCTCCACCCCCGCCGGGCCCCCGCCAACGCCACCGTCTTCTCCCACATCTACAGCATCCGCCGGGGGGCGGGTGAGGGGTTGGGGGGGCGGGGCCCGAGTCCCCGCAGGAGGTGCTGGCCCCCCACAGCCAGCTGCAGCCCCCCCAGCTCTACGAGCACACGCTTGAAGGGGACGAGCAGGTGGTCTTCACCCACCGCATCAACCTGCCCCCCCCGGCCTGCGACTGCGAGGGGGGGGGCGACGGCGGGGCCCTGCGGGAGGCGCTGAGCCGGCTGCGGGCGCTGGAGGCCCAGGTCCAGGCGCTGCGGGAGCAGTGTGGGGCCAAGGGCTGCTGCCCCTCCTCCACCGCCGCCCAGGCTGGCACAGGTCAGAGTGGGGGGCTGACGGGAACCGGGGGTGGGGCCATCAGGAGGGGGGACATGGGGAGGGGGTGGGGACACGGGGGGGAGCACGGGGAAGAGGCAGGGAGGGAGCGATATTGGGCAGAGTCAGAGGAGGGGGCCGGGTGTCAAAAAGGGGCAGAGCCAGTGTGGGATGGGGCGGGGCCATAGAAAGGGGTGGGGACCTGAAGCGGGGGGGAGGGTGGAGCAGTGGGAGGGGCAACAGAGAGAGGCGGGGCCAAAGGAGCAGGGAGGGTGTCAAAAAAGGGGGGGAGCGAGGAATATGCCAAGGGGCGGGGCCAGGGGTGGGGGGGCAGGGCTGGGGCAGGCAGCGCCCCCCAGTGGGTGGCAGGCAGGTTGCAGTTTGACCCCGGCCGCATCTCCTTCCCTCCCCGCCGCAGGCCAGACGGACACCCAGAGCCTCTGCGGCCAGCACGGCACCTTCGACCAGGCCACCTGTGGCTGCGTGTGCCAGCCGGGCTGGGGTGGCCCCACCTGCGCGGAGCCGCAGTGCCCAGGGGGGTGCGGAGGGCGGGGCGAGTGCGTGGCCGGACGCTGCGTCTGCCCCCCCGGCTTCGCCGGCGCCCGCTGCCAGACGCCCGTCTGCGCCGACGACTGCAACGACCAGGGCCGCTGCCAGGCCGGGCGCTGCCTCTGTTTCCCCGGCTACTCGGGGCCGGCCTGCGAGACGCCTGACTGCCCCGGGGACTGCCACGGGCGCGGGCGCTGCCAGGGCGGGCGCTGCCTCTGCAGACCCGGCTACGCCGGCCCGGACTGCGGCACCCGGGCCTGCCCCGCCGATTGCAGTGGGCACGGGCGCTGCCTGAAGAACGGGGTGTGCGCCTGCCACCGCGGCTACGCCGGGCCCGACTGCAGCCAGCCCGCCTGCCCCGGGGATTGCGGGGGGGCACGGGGAGTGCCGGCACGGGGAGTGCCACTGCCAGGACGGCTACGCCGGCGAGGACTGCACCATAGGTACGGCCACCCTACCCACAATGCCCTGCGCCGCCCCAGCCACCCTACCCACAATGCCCTGCGCCGCCCCGGCCACCCTACCCACAATGCCCTGCGCCGCCCCAGCCACCCTACCCACAATGCCCTGCACCGCCCCAGCCACCCTACCCACAATGCCCTGCGCCGCCCCGGCCACCCTACCCACAATGCCCTGCGCCGCCC